CCGGTCCAGATTGAGTTAGTTTTGAGATTAGAACAGAATAGGAATTTTCAGTTGCAGCCTCATGTTTCCCATAATTGATTCATCCCAGGACACACCTGTATGCCAGCAGTATCAAAAAGGGGTGGTCTAGTCCTTGCTGCACCACTGATCTGGTTTATGAACTTGGCAAGTCATAAAGCCTTTGTGTACTTCAGCTTCCATAAATTGGAGATAACACTTCCTGCCCTTATTAAAGTGCATTGAGGTTTTTCAATGAAAAGTACAGATCATTATGAATGATAAAGTAGTATGGTGCCCAGCCTGTACAACCTGTGTTATATCATCTACCCCACCAAATTGTTATTAGTTTACAGTTAGAAAATGCAGTTGTGTTGATAAGGTTGCTCAGGCAATAAAAATAAAGGAAATCACCACTTAAACCAGCATTCACATCCAGCCTCAATTTGTATGCCATCCCACCCAGATATCAAAATGCCCAAACAGCCCCATAACAGATACATTTTCAGTCTAACATAGAACCACTTCCTCACAATCATACTGAAATGCACAAGCTAAACCCCAGCCTCAGACAGATTACAATAAATTGCCTATAGACATACATGTACTGGTGAAAAGTCTAGTGTATTAGCTCAAGAGGAAAAGGGCGGAGGTTGGAGTTCAGCTCGTGAGTGATTGTCAGGAACTGGAGGTGCGCATTGTGATTGGTTCTCTGATGGAATTGAAGGTGGGTTTGTTGTGTTGCTGCGCTGTGTTGGTGTGTTTGTGTTTGCGTATGTGCATAGGTGAGTGTGTGCTAAGGGATGCAAGTTGTGTGAATGTCTTGGTTTTTAGCGATAGTGTTGATGGGAAATGCATTTAAGCAGTCTTAACAATATGACAGTGTTTTTGTGAAAGCCTCATTCTTCCTTATTCTTATTCTCAAGGCTCCCCAGGAAAGGGGATGAAGTGGCTTGGGGGAATATTTTGGGGAAACAGGGACTCCAAGTGGCCCTTTTTCCTGGATTTTTGTCTAAATCACTTGATGGTGGCAGCAATACCGTCCAAGGACAAGGAAAGGATTTGTGCCTTGGGGATGTTTTAACCTAAGCTGGTAGAAATAAGTTTAGGGGGTCTTTCATGTGGGTCCCCACATCTGTACCCCAGAGTTCAGAGTTGGGAGGGAACCCTGACACCCTCCCTCCAAATCCACCTCCTCTATGGCCCCCTGTTAATCCTAGGGAGTAGGACAGGACAGGAGGGAATTATAGCCCACATAGGGTGACCAGATGTCCCAATTTTATAGGGACAGTCCCGATATTTGAGGCTTTTTCTTATATAGAAGCCTATTACCCCCCCACTCCCATCCCGATTTTTCAAACTTGCTGTCTGGTCACCCTAAGCCCACATTGTCAGAAACATGGAACATACAGCTGTGCTGCAGAGGCAGCTGCCCCTCTAGTACTGGCTACTTCCATTCTCTGATGGGTCTGAACTTTTCTTGGTAGAGATAAGTAAGGTTTTGTTAAATGAGGGCAATAACTGTTTGTGTTAAGGAGTCGCTTTTGAAAAGTGGCATATGCCCAAGGTATTTTGAAAGTGTGCATATGGGTGAAGTTCGGAGCGTCAGAGGACTGTGCTTCTTTAGCTAGACGGAGATAAAAAATGTAAGACTGGCAGAGCCAAATGTCAAATTTACAAAAGGCATCATTTAAAAAACCTTTCCTCTGCAAAAGAGCGTGACTATTTAACTCTAAAAGTTATGGAAAATTCCACTGTCCTCAGTAAAGTGATTGTATTAAATTGGGACCCATTGTTAAATCCTTAAGGAGAGAAATAGCAGGATTAAATCCTGCTTTAACTACAGATCTCAAACAGTCTTAACTCTTGAGTCACAACCAATGCCTCCGTCATAACAAAAGTTCCTGTTCTGTTTGGTGTCTCCGATGCTGAAGCACTCTGAGATGATAATGTAAATAAAGCCATTAGAAGAAGGACAAACGTTTTTTTAGCTGTTTGTTTTTAAAAGCAAGAAAGAGTTTGATCTAAATCTTGGAGTCTGTAGATATAAATATATACAGCTGACAACAGCATCTCATTAAGATATATAGCTTTTGGAAAGTATTTTGTACAGTATGGTCCAAGATTGTGGATCTAGTGGGAAACTTTTTGACTGTAACACTGTCCTTTGCATTTTCAGTTCTTCCTTTCAGTTGAATGCATCACATGTAATGAATTTTTAAATTTGACTAGTTGATCCCATTAAATATAACCACTTGGCAGAGCTATCAGACTGAGCTCCCTCAGTCCCTGAGACTTCATTTCCGCTAATCTCTGGGACTGTGTTCACCATGAGAAGGAGCAAAGGGGGCCAAGCAACATAAACAAATCTTGTGGATGACGTGCAGAAAATCTGCACTGAATTAAGTCAAAGGGCCAAACTGCTGAGCTTGTGGAGTCTATGCCAAGATACTTTCAGGCACGGCTGATCACTCAGGGTAATCCTGTGCACTTATATGTGTGATCATATGATCACTTCTATGCAAGGCTCCATATAATCCACAGCTGCATCTCCATATATTCCACCTCTTGCTGCAGAATTGTTCTCCAGGATCAAAGCTTTCATAATGATGGGCCTGATTCTCCACTCTCTTGCACCAGTTTTATGTTGGTGTAGCTCACTGACTTGAAGGAAGCCTTTACGGTACCTTGAAGATGTAAACCAATACAATGCATCTTCCTGAGTCTGCTTACAGCCTGAAACAAAAAGAACAGGAGTACTTGTGGCACCTTGGAGACTAGCAAATTTATTTGAGCATAAGCTTTCGTGGGCTACAGCCCACTTCATCGGATGCATGTAGTGGAAAATACAGTAGGAAGATATATATATACACAGAGAACATGAAACAACGGGTGTTACCATACATACTATAAGGAGAGTGATCAGTTAAGGTGAGCTATTATCAGCAGGAGAGAAAAAGACCTGTTTGTAATGGTAATGAAAATGGTCCATTTCCAGCAATTGACAAGGAGATGTGAGAGTGTGTGTGTGTGTGTGTGTGTGTGTGGAGGGGGTGGGGGGAAATAAGCATAGGGAAATAGTTTTACTTTGTGTAATGGCCCATCCTCTCCCAGTCTTTATTCAAGCCTGATTTAATGGTGTCCAATTTGCAAATTAATTCCAATTCAGCAGTCTCTTGTTGCAGTCTGTTTTTGAAGTTTTTTTGTTGTAATATTGTGACTTTTAGGTCTGTAATCGAGTGGCCAGGGAGATTGAAGTATTCTCCAACTGGTTTTTGAATGTTATAACTCTTGACGTCTGATTTGTGTCCATTTATTCTTTTATGTAGAGACTGTCCGGTTTGGCCAATGTACATGGCAGAGGGGCATTGCTGGCACATGATGGCATATATACACTTCAATCTCCTTGTCAATTGCTGGAAATGGGCCATTTTCATTACCACTACAAACAGTTCTTTTTCTCTCCTCCTGATAATAGCTTACCTTAACTGATCACTCTCCTTATAGTGTGTATGGTAATACCCATTGTTTCATGTTCTCTGTGTATATATATATCTTCCTACTGTATTTTCCACTACATGCATCCGATGAAGTGGGCTGTAGCCCACGAAAGTTTATGCTCAAATAAATTTGTTAGTCTCTAAGGTGCCACAAGTACTCCTGTTCTTTTTGCAGATACAGACTAACACGGCTGCTACTCTGAAGTCTGAAACAATAGCTCTGAGAAATGTAAACTGCCCTGTTCATCTTGATGGGTTAAATCTCTGATCTAAGCCTGTGTATACTAGGGATACTTGTGGCAGTGTAGCTACAGCAGTGCCACGTCCCCATGTATATGCTCTGCACTGATGTGGCTTACCCCATATTACACCAGCGACACTACTACAAATGAGATGAGTGAAGTGTCAATATTAACTATTTCACTGCTGATCATTTTAGTGGAAAATAATGTATTTAATCCCAAAGGCCCAGCTCCTCAAAGGGATTTAGGCTTCTAATTTAAAATTCTAAATACCTTTGAGGAGTTGGGCCAGACTGCTTCCCCCTCAGCTGCCCAAACGACCAGCTTCCCCCTGATGATTTCTTCAGTGCAATTAATCATGGTCAACACAAAACTTTTGGACGTACTGAAAGCTGCCAGTGTGTGAATGTGATGTCAAAATAACTAACCTAGGGGGCTGCTGTACTGAGTATTATTAATTGACTTAATTACAGGCCTAATGTTTTCATTTAAATGAAGCTACTTCATAATTTCCAGTCTGCCCCAGCTGGCTGCTGCAGAATTGAGGAAACATGCTGTAAAATTTAAGCCCAGCTTGTTACAGAGTACATTGGGGTTTGCTGCTAATAATCATCAGAGATGGATTTTGGCTTTGCTTTATGTGAGCATTCATTTTTTGTCAGAGGCGGTGATCTGTATTAGAAATTTAGCAAACTGGAAATGAGGTGAGAATGGCCAAAGCCCTAATGGCTGCTGCTATTCTGCAGCAGGAGATGCTTTTAAAGAGTGTGTAACCTCTGACACACAGCCTGTGTATTAGTGTGTTTGTTTCCGTTTGATGACTAGCATATTTTCTTATTTTCCATCTGCATTAATACATTTGTCAGCTGTACTTCAGTCCATCCCTCTCAGTGTACACTGTTCTCAGTGTAGGACTCAGCTGTGCAGTACAGTAGCAGCCGTCACTCTGACAGAGGTGCTTTCTCTTAGAAAGTTGCTCTCTGCTTTATTGGAGGGTACAGAGTGATTATTGCCAGTTTCGCCAGGTGCTCCTGTAACAAACCAACCTATTTGGGTGCATAGGGAAGGAAGTATTGCAGCAGTCCTTAAGATTTTGCCTGTGGAAGTCTGTCAGACATGAGAAGGGCTGGGCCAGTAACTTTCAACTAAGGAAATAAGAGCCAAGCTTATTCTAGCCCCAGATGTTGGTTTACTTCATTTTTAAAAAAAAAATGCTAACCAGAACAAAATAAAGGGCTGTGTGTGTTTATTTCCCTCTCAGATTACCAGAAAATTTAGGCTCAATTCCGATGGGAAACTAGAACAGACCGTCTCCATGGCAACCACTGCGCAGCCAATGACTCAGCACCTTCACATTACCTACAAAAAGGTGACACCTTAAAAATAGGAGAGTAGGGTTTCCCCGCAGAAAAGGCGGAGCCTGGAGCCTAAGGACAGAAGCCTATCTTGGTGATCCACATTCACACCTGATTACAGGAGGGGGAGGCTGGTGAGCTACACATGCTGTTGGGAATGTTATGCAGTTGTTTCTGTAACGGTATATATAAAAAACAAATAAAAAGCCTTTATTTTTATGGCTGTGGCTTTGAACCTTATTGCTGTGCGGGCTGTAAATTCCTCTGCTCTGGCAGTGATTAAACAAGGGGTTTCTCAGGCCTGTTCCCTAGAGAGTTAGGAGGGCTGGCAGATTCAGTCTTCTAATCTTTTATAGGATCTAAACGGATCGCCACAAAAACAAAACAGGAAGATAAAAGCAGCAGCAATACAGGGTGTGACAGACAGAACTCTCCATTCCATCTAACGCAATACAGGCTAAAGGTTAGGAGAGAACACCTCCTACTGTGGGACAGAGCAAACTGCCCTGGGGCCAGAACCTGCAAGGTGCTCAGCCACCACCCAGAGGTGGCAAATACCCTCACACCCTTTACTTCAGTCGGAGTGGAGGGAGCTGAGTAGCTAGCAGGTTGAAGCCCATAGAGGATCTGATCTGAATCACTAGGAGTCATTCCATTGCCCTCAGTGGGTTTTGGTCAGTCCCAGAAAAAGTCCCCTCCCAGTATAGGATGGAGGGAGCTCTGGAGATAAGAGCCACACCTTCTCTAGCTTAAATGCGGAACACAATAAAACTCACATTGACAGGCACATGATAAAGAAAAGCGCCAGAAGCTTTAAATAATGAGGGACTAATTTCTGCAGCATTTTCAGTGACCTTGGTGTCATGGTTCAGCCTTTGATTTAGCTGATATATAATATTAGAAATATCAGCAGGTCTTTGTGCAATGGAAATAAATGTGGATCTAAAATTAAAGCCTTAATACACATGAGGCAGTTTGAAAGATAGTGAAACAACTACCTTTTTGGTGTGGGAAAGAGGGATTAGACAAAGTTTTCTGAGACATGGGACTGAAAAAATTGTAACTCACTTTATATGAGAGGGAAAGCTATAACTTTGCCTAAACATTTCAAATGAATTTTGTTCAAGATTTCTTGATGAGCTATATGGCATGGGCCTAATTTTGGTAAGGCTGTCTGTTTGTTGTAGTAGCTATTTATTCCCTACACATTTTATTTGAACATTTACCACACTGTCAGGTTATTGAGGATTGTATAAAGTTCACCAAAGACTTGTGTACAGTTGTGCCAGCCATTTTTAAGCCCGGGGGTGGGTGGGAGGGGGGCACAATGTTTGGATTCAAAGAGGTTACGCTCTTTTGTGAGGTTTTAAGCTGCCAGAAGCATATTAGATTTGAATACTACATTTTATTGTGTTTAATTGAATAGCATGTATAGTCTTCATACCACATCTCTAAGAAACTAACCCATCTACTGCAAATTTTTACATACCAATGATCATAAATACTTAGTTTAAAAACAAAACTTAAAGAAATTATAAGTCAAGAAAACTCTGGGATAGGTGAGTAAACATGTTGTTAGACTGAGATTCTCAAAGTCATCTAGGTGGGATTTGGACACAATTTTCATTCATTTTAATTGGCCTTACGTACTGGCTTTGTACATTCTCATGAGGATATTTTTAAAAGTAGACTTAGATTTAGATTTTCAGTGTTTCTTTAAAAGAAAGAAAGAAAGAAAGAAAGAAAGAAAGAAAGAAAGAAAGAAAGAAATTGAAAAGTGAGGAGAAGTTTGGAGTTCAGATTTTACATGAGCTTTGAACTCTTTCTCCCTTGTCCCATTGTGCTATGCTTCATCCAGATAATGAAAATGCAGGTTTGATAACTGTATTCCTTTCCAGTTTTTCTGAATTAACAACAATAGGGAAAATAATGCAAATCTCAGCTCTCTCCTGTGTAAAAAAGGTAAGGTCAGCTTAGCTCTCTTAGCTGCTTTGATGGAGCTGGGAGTACAGAGTCTACAACCAGTACTAGTTAGAGGGTGGTGTGCAGCTGCTGAGGTGTTCGATCCACCTCAAGATGAGAACTGGTCAAAATATTGCTGTTGAAAGATGCTGGACTGAAAATGGCACTTTTACAAAACAATTTCCTTTGGCCAGATATTGGGAGTTTCATCGAGAGACTTCAAAAATTAAAATTACTGGGGTTTGGATTTTCATCAGGAGTGAGGAAAATTGACAAAACTTTACTTTTTGTCAGTTTTTCATGTGGGATGGGGAAGAATAAGCATTTCCCAACCAGCTCGTGAATCACAGAAAGCTCTTCTGGCTAAGGACCACAGATAAGAAATGTACGGTGGAATTTTTTTATTATTATTTACAAATAAGTTGGATGATGACTCATCAGTATCAGGTTTTCAATGGAAAGCAAATTATTAATAGTAATAATACATACAACTTACTCCTTTTTTTATTAAGCTAAATAAATTAGAGAAATTACCCAACACTCTAGGTACCCTTACCAATCATTTAAAAACACATACACAAATTTTAACCAAAAAACCAGGAGTAAGCTTCTTCCCACCTCAGATAAGGAAGAATACCCCACTGTACCTAAATATTATTCTTTGAACAGTGTAGGATTTAAGCATCTTGCTGTATCAGGGCATTGTAGTATAACTGTCATATTGTGCACTACTGCAGGTATAACATCTGTTTCACTAACAAGTATTATTGTCCATACATTACTGCATGGGGTATGAAGAGCTGCAGAGTATTGGCTTCAGGAGCAGCTGCATAAGCATTATTACTGCTCCAAAACCTCCAGTCCCAGAGAAGGGAGAGAGAAGAGAGTCTGCTGTGGAACATGTTCTGCCATTCCCTGAGAGCTGTTGGTTAAAATAACTGTACCAAGTCCTATTGTGCATAGTTTTTCCAGATAAGAGATTCCCAACTTAGCAGCAGCTGCACAAGTAGACTATAAGTATTATGATGCTAGCTTAAAATGTTAGGTGAAAGATGAACAGTGGCACTTTCAGGAGGGTCTATTGCACTTGGTTCAGGGACCATGGAATGTGAGAAGAGTGTGATCGTAAAGTCACAATCCACTACTTCAAGGATTAGAGTTCAGGGAAAACACCTTTATAAATTCCCTATTAACTGCAAAACCAGATTTTCCTCCCCATAGTGAATTTTCATAGATTTTTCAGTGAGGATGCTCCTCTTATGTCTGCCCCTGTCAAAAAACTCCCCTTCCAGGGGCAAGTGCTGCCTGTAGTCCCAGGGGGGGTGGGGGGGGGGGCTCCATGGACTTTAATAGAAGATGTATTGTACGCACGAAGGCAGATTTTAGATACAGGTGATTTTAAAAAAATCCTTTCTGGAGCTCTTCTCAAACAAGATTGGTAGAATGCCCCTCTGTATCACTTCACTATCAGCAGGGTTTCCTGTTTTAATCACTAGCTGCCTGTATATATAACCTCCCCCTCCCACTCACACATATTCCTCTGAGCAATGCTAGTTTGTTTGATTATTCTTATCTTTTTGTTATACTGCCTTAATTGGTGCATTTAACTCATCAAGTGCCTTAATTTAGTGCATTTTTCCTTTGTGCTAGTGCTTTACTTACAACACATCTGTAGCCTGCAGCATTGTAATTCAAAGCAGCCTCTAAATCCTAATCTAGACAAAGATTTAATGGTGCGGTGCTGGATTCGGTTAAAATGCTAGTCAAGACAAAAAAAGGCAGGTTGTATTTTACAACATGCTAAATTAGTTGAATTAAAGCCTAGTGGGTAATCTAGGTATTACTAGTGACGTGGAGCTGGTCTACAGATTTTGTACCATTCTAACTCTTGGTTTAGAAACCAAAGTTTACTGTACATTTAAGGGAATAAACTGTACTGATAAGCACTTTATACCAGTAGAACTGTCTTCACACTAAGGCATTGTACTTTACTAGATCTACTTCTGAACAGACAGTTCTAGCAATACAAAAACAACATTTAGACCAGCCTTTAAATGTTAGCTAGCTCAATCTATGACAATCCTAGGCCGGGTCTACATTTAAAATTTTTGCTGGCATAGCTGTCTGTTAGGAATGTGAAAAAATAATCACATCCCTAACTGACACAGTTGTGCTGGCAATAACCCTAGTGTAGATGCTGTGATTTCAGCAAAAAAAAGTCCTTTTGTCCATGTCTTGTTGGGGGGAATTGGTATAACGAGTAGTCGCAAAAGAACTCTTGCTGGAGTGCGATGTCTACACTGGGAGGGGTTCTGGTATAGTTCTACCTGCAAACCCTTTCCAGTGTAAACAAGGCATACGGCTGCATGCAGATTCAGTAGAAGAGGTGTGATGTGGGTTACTGCTTTTATTATGTAGAGGCAGCCAGAAGAATGCTGTTTGCTTTCTTCAAGCCCAGAGCTCACACCTTCAGAAGGGAAAATGCCATTTTGCCCATATAAATATAGGATAAAGACATCCACCTCCCCAATATTCATGCATGTTCCTTCTCCAGAGAAACTGGTTTTCTGAGTAGTTCTAGCCTTAGGAGCAAGGCAGCTTGCAGGATCTTGACCCAGGACTAATCTGTTGGCAGTGCATCTCAGCTGAGGCTACTCAGCCATTACACCTTTGGAGACAGATATTTTTTAAGATGTGTTAACTAATATGAGTTGAACCAGGCAAACTGTAGTTTTAACAGATTAGCTGGCTGCGGTAAACCACAGAGGGGAGCTCTGCATTTACTTCACCCAGCTAATGTATAAAATCCCAGTGCAGACAAGGCAAATTGTAGTTTTAACATGTTAAATACCCTTTTTCACCAGCAGTGACCTGGCCTGAGTGTATGTCTCTCTCTGCACCACTTTAGACTGTTCTTGTATTTGTTTTAAAAACACCACATTAGTTCACAGAAGCCAAACTCCTTCTATTTTTATTGTCTATCACAAGATAAAATTGCAAGTCAGACTTTATAATTTGCTAAAGGAGAAATATTTGTCACTCTTGATACAGTTTTTCCCATTCACAACATGCTACTCAAATGACTTTTCTCCACATTCCCCCCACCCCATATTGTACTTATATGCTCTTGTTTTTTGGCTCCATCTGAATCTCCTTCTAGAGAAAAAATTCATCCTCATTATAATGCTCAAACAAAGCTGTCATGTGAGAAGTGATGCTTTGCTCCTATCATTTTGTTCAGCTTTGTAAATCACACT